GGAGATTTTTTTTTTTTTTTTTTTGATGTTTTAATATTGGCTCTCGTTTGAGTTCCTGTGAATTAAAATAGGAAAAAGAAGAAGAAAGAAATCACTAACTAATGCAAGTTGTGCACTACTAAGTATGATATGAGAAGTACTATGTTTTATTGTTTTGTAGGTTTGGGTCGTAAGTGTTGTCTATTCTATAGTTTAATAATACCTACACCAAATTGTGTTTTTTTGTTGTCTAATTCTCTAGATATTATTATTCAGAAATAAGGCATATCTATTACTTCTACCTAAGGGATTTAATATAAGACTTGGCTTTGAATTTGATTTTTTTTGAATAAACTGAGAAGTACATCTTTTAAAAAATTTGGTTAAAAAAAAATACCCTAGACCATATCACGAAACTAAAAAGAGTTGCTTGATGATTATTTAAATGTCCTCGAAAATGAGATTTTTTTTAACATATAATTGCTATTGTTGAGTCGAGAGTTTATCGGAAACAAACTTTCTATCTCACACATCATATTGATGTTGATGTTGTTGATTGCTATTGTTAGCACCATTTTATGCTGTTGTTAGGGCTCGTTTGAATATGTGGAGGGATGAATTTGGAAGTTTGAATTTTCTTCACCTAATTCTACTTAAATACTCAAGGAGGTGGAAAATAATATCTTCAAAAAGAACAAATACTTTCTTTCCTAATTGTAGGTTTGGGTTGAGAAAACACAATTTGACTAAACTTGGGACCCCTTTGTCACAGAATAAATAAGACAGGGGCTCTACCACTAAAATCATAAAGCCTAGTTCTCCTAATCATTGTTTCAAAAGTTGGTGCTTTTGCCTAAATCCCACCTACTTAAAGAATCTTAATTGCATTTTAATCAACAAAGTTAGAAGCAATTCCAATTCTTGCAATTTCTTTATTTCAATGGTATCTTTACCAAATAAAAGCACTCATTTTATTGGTTTGTGGGGTTCTCATCATGCATCTCGTGCCACCAAGATACATAATAATTTTTACGTTTTTCTATATTTTTCAGAAAAGATTTTTAATAGGCTTAATTAATCATAAGAATATTTGACCAGACTATCCATACGTTCTCACTTAATTAACACTCCTCTAATTGGAGCACTGAGAATAAATTTGAAAAAAAGTAATAAATGTTCTCGCAATTCAATTTGTCAACAAGAGTTTGTATTCTGAAATGATATCAGAGGGATTTATATTTATTGTGAAAATTCTGTTTTCTATATGATTAATATCTTCTTTTTCTTCTTTTGAAAAAAGATTTTAAATCAAATAATTTACGATCAATTCATCTAACATTTCTTTTTTTAGATGACAATTTTTCACATCTAAATTATGTATTAGATATACTTCATCTGTAACAACTTCTGAGATTTTTTGTTTACAGCAATATTTTTTCTCGATCTTATTGAATTTTTTGAGCTAACTACTTAGGCTTCAAAGGAATATACTTTCTTTGTTTAATGTTGCTGGATGAAGAAGAATAGATGCTATTTTTAAAACAATTTCTTTGAGTGGAGAGGCAAGGGGAAAGAGATTGGAAGGATATCTTTTTGTGAGAATTTAATCTTTGCACCTTTAAGATATCAAGTAACAGCGCTCTACGAGTGCACTACTATTATAATGTTTAAATATTACCTCACTTATATACTTGGTAGTATATATTATCATGGCAAGCACAATTTCTGTTCTAACATAATTATATATTATTGTCTTAAATGTCTTATATGTTGCAGCTAATTAGTTCGTTCAATTGGAAGCTTAGTTACTGGTTCGGTAAAACTTAATAACTTTAATTTGTCCAAAATCATGTATTTATATTTTAAAAAAATATTTAATATGCATATATAATTTATTTAGAATTCAATAAACTGCATTTTCTAGTATTTAGAGCCTAAAACTTAAACTTTGGATTTGCCTTTGATTGTTTGTTATATATTGACAATATAATTTTATAAACCATTTGAACCCTAATAAGAAACATGATGGAAGGAAGGACGGTTGATTCTTTTAATCGATGCTCCCTTAAGAATGATTTTGGACCAAATGTTGAATGCATTATTACTATAAAATGATAGGAAAAGATTAAACAGTATTGTGATAAAAAAAAGAAGCTTAGATTGTCAATTATTAGTTGACTTTTGATCAATTGGCTTTGACGAAAGTTTATGTTGTCATTTTTTCACCTTGTATTGTACATAGTTAGTTCAAATGAATTTGAAATGGAATCTTGATTTTAGAGATTATTTTTTTCCCAATAGAGTTTGGTTAAATATTTTGACAAGTTGAAATTTCATAGGGATGCATGATCTAGTCAAACTCTTAACCTATGACCTTCATTTTTTCTTTGATTCTTGAGATTTGTGTGAAATGCTAACGAAAATGTGAAAAATGAAAAGGAAACGCAAATTATATAAATTTGACACACTTATTATACTTTATTTTATACGATTGTTTTACTTCTTGTTTAGTCCAAAACGATTGTTATACTCCTATAATTGAACTTTGATATATTTTATAAAATTATATCGTGTTAAGAATTCTTCTTTCTTAAATATTGTATCTAATTATAGACGATCATATAAAACGAAATGAGGAACTAAAAATCATGAAATCGTAAATTTTGACATGCCAAATATATAGAGAATCATGAACTAAAAATGGACATTGTAAACTTAGATACTATTACATCAATAATATAAAATTTAAAAGGCTCTATTTTTTAGAGGAGACAACCAAATAAATAATTGGAGTTTCAACAGTTGTAATCCATTTTTGTGTAATATGTGGGACCTCTTTACCTTCTTGTTTTGGGGGAGAGGGGGTGGTTGCCTGTGGTAGGGGTAGCTAACTATATATGAAGTGCAAATGAGAGAAGAAATAAATGAACTTTAATTTGGAATTAGGAAGTGACCATTTAAGAGTAAGTCCCTTCATTTCTTTCTTTAGCTTCTTGTTAATCTGTTATCATTCTCTTTAATCCCTTCTGATTTTACATTATGTTGTTTTTGTGGACCTATATTTACAAGTAAATATAATCCAATTTTCCATGCAAGTTACTATGCTTATAAAATTTATGATATCAATACAAAATATCAAGACTTTTCCATCGTTGGTTTCACTATTTTCTTGTTATTGTTTATCTTTCATTTGATCATTGATATTGATCGAAGAGAACCTTGGCGTAACTGGTAAAGTTGTTGTCACGTGATCTGAAGGTCACAGTTCGAGCCGTGAAAACAGCATCTTGCAAAAATACAGGGTAAAACTGCGTACAATAGACCCTTGTGGTCCGTCCCTCCTCCGGACTCCGTGCATAGCGGGAGCTTAGTGCACCGGGCTGCCCTTTCCGATCATTAATATTGATTGGTTTTTATGATCAGCCAAGTTCCAGCTTGTATATTTCCTCTTGTACTTTGTTCTTATATGAAGACAGCTTTTAAATTTTAGTTGACCTTTAGTTCTATTTTATCACTGCATGCCAAACATGATTGCTTTATTTCCAAATCACGACCCTTCAAGAAAGTTCCAGTTTCACTTAATTTTATATTATCTCTTTCTCTGAATTTAAAGATATGATTTTTATTTGTTCATGAATATACAAATTGGATTGCCTTATCTCTGGAATGCTTTAGGTATTCTTGTTTGTCATTGTTGTTATTTTATATCATTCTGGTTTCTGATTGAGACCCTTCAGCCATTACAGCTAACTTTTTAATGTTTACTTAATTCATTTTGTGGTTTTGACTAATATTACGGTATTTATTTTATAGAGGACTTTTGCTGACTTCTTGTTTTACTGTTTCAATCCTGAGATATTTCCTCAATTTCTTAATATGGGGGCAATAAAAAGCTCCTACATTTTTTCAGTATGGTCTAGGATAATAAGGCAGCCCGATGCACGAAGCATCCCGCGTTCACGCAGGGTCCGGGGAAGGGCTGCACCTTCGGGGTTGTGATGTAGGTAGCCTACCTTAATGCAAGCATTAGTGTCTGATTCCACGGCTCGAACCCGTGACCTATAATGAATGTTATATGTATGGTGCAAATCATGCTTGAACTATAGCATAGTCTTAATCAGATCCTTCAATATAATTTCAAACACCAATATTTGGTTTTCCAAAATATCTTTTTAGCTTCAATCAGTTAGCTTTCACATGGGTGAGTTTAGATAGAGTTCTGCCTAACAGTCAACATCTTATTATTGTCTTAAATTTGTATAGTTATGTATCTTTGATATGTAGGATTCACCAAATAGGTCATTTAGCCTTTAGTTCTTTGAGGGAATGCATTGAGAAGTTGATATTACCATTTTTTGGCATGTAAGGTAATGAATAATTGATACTTTACAACTTGAGAAAATACAAGAATAGTAAGGTTTGTTTGTGCATATCTAAAGTGCCTTTCTTGGTGTTTTTGAATGCTATAATCTTGCAGTTTGTTGATATATACAAAGGAGGAAGGGAGTGCTTCTTGTTGGAATTGCAGTTTTGGTTGGTATATGCAAAGGAGGTAAGGGAGTATTTTTCTTGGAGTTGTGAACTTAGTCTTGAGATATGGGTGGATGTGTTTCGAGTCCGACTAAGAAGATAAAGTTAAAGACAAAGTGCATTCGCAAGTCTCGTAGATTTCGAAGAAAGGCACCATCTTCTGTTTCTGTTGCACCGATAGAGCAACTTACTGGTGTGAGAAACTATGTAAGAGATGTTGATGTTGGTGAGTTTGTCACAATAGACTATGAGAGCAGGGCTGCACCTATTGGTGGAGGGGATTGTGTGTTAAATCCAGCATTTCATCTCTCCCAAAACTTTCATCATGTAGATGTAACTGGTATGGATACTTGTAACAAGCATTAATTTTCTTGAAATAGTTGATCTTCTTGCTCAGCAAACATTGATTACTTTGAACCTATGTTGCTCGGGCCCTCCAAAAATGTCGCCGGCGGGTGCGTCTGGGATCCTCCAAAAGTAGTGTGTTTTTGGAGGATCCGACACGATGCGGTAACATTTTGGCGAGTCCCTGCAACATAGCTTTGAACCAAGCAAATGAAAGAATTTTTAGCATCCGTTTACTTGGTTATAGGAGCTAGATGCCAAGGAAAGTTAGGCATTTCAAATTGCATTAGAAGTGTTTAATTTCCAAGGAATTCTTTAATTTGCAGGAGTAAGCCAAGAGGAAGCATGGTTTGATTCTTTCAGTGTCCTTGAGTCTGATTCAGACGAAGACTTCACTAGTGTTCTTGGGGGTAATCAATAAATCCTAATCCAAATTCTAACAGTAACCAAAAGAAGTTATTTCTGAGTTCTCTTTGTAATTTTACTTCCAGAAATTTGCCCTTCATTGGTCATTGCTTCTATGAGCATATTAGATCATCAAAGTCAAATCGAAAGCGCCTCACACTCTTACGATACCATCAACAACAATGATATATCATGTGTAAGTCACTTTAGCATTGTGAAGGTCAAAATGAAATGTTTTGCTCATGTATTTGTTAAGGCTTCCAAGTCAATGATTCGTTTCTCGATACTTAATTCAGGTAGATGGAAATTTTACTAAGCGGAACAACATTGTGGAGGATCCAATTTTGACATCTCAAAGAAGGAAGTTATCAGTTGTAACACTTGCTGTTAATAAGAAACTGCATGATGGGGAAACGACGACTGAGTTTTGTGAGTGTCACTGCAAATACTAATACATACAAATTCATCTACGTATTTAGATTTGTTTTGATCATATAACTAGTATACTGTCAAAATCTAAAGGACTTTATAAAATAACTAGGTTCTTCAAGGAGATTATTGTATCGTCCAAGAGCAGGATTTGTTGTTCCACATTATATTGATATGAAACAAACTCAAGGATGTTGGAGTCGCATTGCACCTTCTGTATTTAAGCTTCGTGGCATGAATTATTTCAGGCATGTTTGCGTTGTGTACAATGAGATTTGCTAGAGTATCTTGTTTCGCTTTACATTCAAGCTGATAAGACTTCTATATTTCACAAATGCAGGGATAAAAGGAAATTTCCTGCCCCTAACTATTGCCCTTATGTACCTATTGGTGTTGATCTATTTGTTTCTCCGCGGAAGATATCTCATATTGCACGGTATCTTGAGCTTCCCTTTGTAGAGCCACATGATAAAGTCCCATCGCTTCTCATCGTCAATATACAGGTCCTCTTGCAATGCATAAATTCCTTAATAAATCAGACTTGCATTTTTTACCTTTTCTTGACACTGTCATACATTTATTCTATTTAGTTGGGATTAACTACTTTAACTAAGGCTCCATGTGGATTTTATGGGTTCTTTTGGAAAATGACTTGAAAGGGAGCCTTGACGTAACTGGTAAAGTTGCTGCCATGTAATCAGGAGGCCACAGGTTAGAGCCGAGGAAACAACCTCTTGCAGATATGCAGGATAAGGCTGCGTTCAATAGACCCTTGTGGTCCGGCCCTTCCTCGGACCCTGCGCATAGAGGGAGCTTAGTTCTCCGGACTGCCTTTTTTCTGGAAAATGACTTGTTACTGTTATTTTTATTGGACTGAGACGGGCTTAATAGAGCGACATGACACTGAAAATTCATATAGGATTGAGGCGGAGTGTTGTTTTCGTGAAAATAACTTACAAAAATTCCGGATTTATTGTTGCAGCTGCCTAGTTATCCTGCCTCAATGTTCCTTGGTGAAAATGATGGGGAGGGAATGAGCCTTGTACTATACTTCAAAGTATCAGAAAATTTTGAAAAAGAGATTTCTCCACAATTTCAAGACAGCATAAAGGTAATAGCCTGTTCTTAGTTTCTATTTTCCTTTATATGAATACTACTTTCTTTTATCTGGAATACATGGATTAAAACTTTTTCTACCGATACATATTGCAGAGATTAGTAATGGATGAGATGGAAACTGTAAAAGGTTTTGCAAAGGAATCAACAGTTCCTTTCAGAGAAAGACTAAAAATCATGGTTGGCGTAGCCAACCCTGAAGATCTTCATTTAAATCCCGCGGAGAAAAAACTTTTACATGCGTATAATGAAAAACCAGTGCTTTCGCGTCCTCAACATGCCTTCTACGAGGTAATGTTTTTAAATTCTAAAATCTTTTCCTCTTTGAGATCTCATAGATGAATATCGTCAAATTATTTCTTAAATTTTGGCATATACATGCATATAGTGAAATTTCAGCTGCTCATATCTAGATTAAAGAATTGAAATGAGATATACTTAATAAAGAAGTCGCACATTTGATATGAGCAGCTGAAATTTCACTATATGCATGAAGTATCTGTTGTCTCCTATAAGTCTCCTATATGCAAGAAGTCGCACATTTGATATACTTTTTGTTGTCTCCTATAATCAGAGGCGGACCTAATATAACCTATGTGTTATATTGAGCAGAAGTCTTGTATATGTATGTGTGTACCTTAAAAATGGTTAAATGAAATCATTTGGCACCTTGAACCCTAAAAGCCTTTAGGGGGCACTGATTGAACAGAATATTGTGCCCCCGTCGCGTTAAAATTTTAGGTCCGCCTCTGCTTTTATAAGTTCATTTTCTTACTTTTCTTAAATAATCTCTTATCATTATCTTGTTCAGGGAGGCAACTACTTTGAGATAGACCTGGATGTTCATCGATTCAGCTACATATCCAGGAAAGGATTTGATGCATTCCGAGAACGACTGAAACATGGAATTCTTGATCTTGGATTAACAATTCAGGTTTAGTTATTCCCAGAATCATTTTCCTATGCTCTAAAGTTTACATTTTCCCACAAGTTATTTTTTAACAGAAGTTCATTCTGGTTTTTATCAGCATGTATAGGAGGAACATGAACTCTGAATTCTTATACAAACAGTTCTTTGCACTTTGCATGTTATATTTGGATAACTGTAGGCACAGAAGCAAGAGGAGCTGCCAGAGAGAGTTTTGTGCTGTGTTCGATTGAACAAAATCGATTTTGTAAATCGTGGCCAGATACCTCAGCTTATAACCCCTGTTGATAACTGAAATGATTGAGAGCTAGGCTAATAGTTGTAAATTTTGTGACAAGAGAGAGAATGGATTCTGAAATGTAGCTATCACACCAATTTTATTTGTATCAAGAGTGACAAAATATGAAAAGGTTTAGAACCTTTTCAATGAAATCTGACAAAATTGAAAGTTGAATTTTAATTTCTCCAATGTATAAAGGTCCACATCAACTTTAAAGGAAAGTCCCTGTTGGTTACCCTCAAAAGGTCCTCAATTAAACACTTCAGAGGAAAATGCGATGAAGTCTAAATTATCATGCTAGTTGTTGTTATGTCACAGGAAGAAGCAAACCTGAAAATAAAGAAGATAAATAACACAAAATTTTAACACGGAGTTTTTTGTAAAAACTACGGGATCACAAAGATCCAAAAAACTCCACTATGACAATAAGAAGGTTACAAAACCCTTCTTTAGACTTGAAGCACATTCAATCCTATCACTATAAAAAAAAATACTGAGAATCATAAATTCATAACAGAAAAATAAATAAATAACAAATAATTCAATTCATAACAGCAAGAAGATTGTCCAAAAAACTTCATGTAAATTCAGATGAAAGGCCCAACTATAAACGATTACAAGGTAGAAGGATTGGCGTTAAATGCAAAAATAGTGTAGTCGTTCACAGTGCTAGTTCAAATGCAGCAATAAACAGCCAATAGATGTTGGAATACAAAAGCATTTACAGAAAGAATGCATATAGAAATAACACAGCTAACCCTGTGCTCTTTTTGAGAACATTTACAAACAATTCATATTCAAATCACTCCTTCCTGACCTATTATTTCGTGTCAACGCAACTTCTGTACCATTTCTGTTCATGATTGTTGGGGGAGACCAAGATCAACATTGCAAACGCGACAAATAGAACCATTCAGAAATAAGTTACAGCCCTCTACATGGCCAAATTCTTCACTTGCTTCCCTGTTGATTACCATGCTGGAATGATGCTTTCATAAATCATGTAATTTGTTCTTCTTTGAAACGTAGAAGCACTATAGGTTGTTGTTCATTGTTTGGAAAGTCAGTTCTTCTCATTGCAGCCGGTTTATCAACTACAGGGTTGTGTGGCCTCAATTGTGACATAGAGTTATTAGTGGTATTATGGCTACTGTTCCTAGCTGCAGGCACATCATGATTATGTTTACCCTCATATGTTGTTATGACTGCTTTAGGGTCACTTGCCGCCCTTTCGACATGCTTTCTTACGTTACATCCTTGGCTGGTACATTTGTAATAGCTTCTGCAGAAAATAACAAGGCGTGTAAAAATTATGGCAAGCAAAATAGCCACGAAGCAGCTGGCTTTGAAACAAAGACTTCTAAATAAATACTGCAAAGAGAATGTCTCAACCAGCAAGATTCTGACAAAAAGGGCAGCCCGGTGCACAAAGCATCCCGCATTTATGCAGGGTTCGGGGAAGGGCTGCACCCCAAGGGGTGTGATGTAGACAGCCTACCCTAATGCAAACACTAGTATGGCTGCTTCCATGGCTCGAAAGTCAAAAAGTTGGCAAGATTATAGTCAATATGGTAAACATAAAAGGAACGTAAATGTAAACTGGATTTCTCTACAGCTGATATTTATTAATTTAAGGTTCACTTTACCACAACTCCACTCTTAAAACTAGCTGAACACCAAATGTATAGATGATATCGTGGAGTAGTTCATTGACAATAAAGGAGTAAAATAAGATGGACATTTTACCTTGGATAGGGGTTTCCTTTAACAACCTTCTGTCCATACTTTCGCCATCTATAACCATCATCCAATAGATCAACTTCACTGGTTGTTTGTACAATGATCCTAGGTTCTGTAACTGTCCGGTGAGAACAAGCTGCCTCTGAAGTTTGTACTTCCACAGCCCTGCAAAGTACAGACATGTTAGGATAGAGAAGAATAGCTGTCAAAATAGACATGGCAGCAAAAGGAATTACTATGCAATAGTGCTAAGGGTGAAGGAAGATACCTCCGCTTTGATTCCCGTTCATCAATGTCTCTTCCATCCACTCTAGTCTGAGCATCACCCACTTCCTCACTGTCACTTGATCCGGAGATCTGGTCATGTGTTGCTTGGCTGGATTCATGATCCTTCATTCTTAACGAATAGGATGTTTCGCCCTCCTTGGGTTTGTTAAAATTTCCGGCCAGACCCTCAGAGCTGGGCTCATAGGACCCCTGAAGATTATAATTTCCATTTGGATTTCCACTTTCTTTTGAACGCTTACTAGATTGAGGCGGCTGATGGTTGTGCTGGCCCTTATATATAATCTCAGTCACCTGACCATCGAGGGAGCGCTCAACCTTCTTCTTGACTGGACAATTTGAATGTGTACACTTGTAATAGCTTCGCGGATATTCACTTCCCTTGACCTGCTTCTGCCCATACTTTCGCCAGTTGTAGCCATCATCAGCAGGTTTGTCAACAGCAAAGGAAGCAGGTTCTGACCTCTGATCAGATAAGGAAACATCTGATGACTCTTTCACGATGTTAGGATTTAATGCAGGAGGAGGTATCTGTTGGTTTGCTGCTGCATTTGATGCTAAGGACTGGAACTGTGACAATGACGCTGCAGCTGCTGTTGAAGAAGACGGATAGTCAGGCCGAATGTGCAGTTGAGACTGAGCAGGGGCTGCCTGAGTTGTAAATTGAGCAAGCACTTGCTGATGTGACATTCCAAAAGGGCCCTGTCAAATGAAGATACATAACTAACTTCGAAGAAGCAAATTCAAATTAAACTAATAAGGGCTCGTTTGGTACGAGGGATAAGAGATAATTAATTCCGGGATTAAATTTGAGATGAGTTTATCCCATATTTGGCTAGGATAAAATCGTGGTATAACTAATCCCGGGATCAGTTATCCTGGGATTGTAGTGTTTTTTTTATCTCTATGGAAGGGTAAGATAACTAATCCCGGAATAATTAATCATGGGATAACTTGTTTCCCAACCAAACGACCCCTAACAGTATCAACTTATATGCAGCAACAACAGAGTGTTCTCTCCCAAAGCCAAGTATAGAACATTTACCATCATCAGGATATTTCTAATTTCAGAGAGTGTTAATTACCGAAACTCAATTATGTTACTACAAACACAACCTGCTTGTTTACAAAATCAAACTCTTCCTGTCTGGTTTTTCTTTTTTTGATTCATCACTGAGGTTTTTCTACAATCTGAATACGATATTGATTTATTATTTTTATAAATGAAAGAAGGTCCACAACAAAGATGTTCCCTCTCGCCATATCTATACTTACTGGATGGGTGCAGATAACAATGTAATAATAACAAAGCTAGATAGAGATACTGTTCATTTATAATTGATTCAGATAGCGAGACCCACGGAAAATTCCACCTTATTCGTGCGGTAGCATCTAAAAACCAAATACCTGTATTTTCCCTAGTAACAACCAAACATTAACAAAATAATAACACATCTGCAAGACGTTACGCCGAGTAGCTTCTGTTGTCTTTTCTCTTTATCAGGCCATGTTAGGCCAACAATTCCTTTTCTTCCAACTACTCCCCAGTCTAATATGACCGGCACTAGATGAGGCCAAAAATGGTTTTCTACATGAAACCTGTGGATCAACTAGTAGATAAGGGAAATGGAATGGATTCATATATCTATCTCTATCTACCTGGTACTTAACTTACCAGGTAAAGGTAAGGTCTGCGTACACACTACCCTCCCCATACCCCACTTGTGGGATTAGACTGGGTCTGTTGTTGTATATACATAGCTCCAGCCATCTTGAGCCGGCATTCAAGTAGACAAGTTAATGAATCATAGAGAGTTAGTACAGTGTTGATGAAGCTTTTATTTTTTTTATTTTTATTCCTTAAGAAATTACCATACTTTCAACTATTGAAATCGGAAAAAATTCTATTTAATAAGCAGTCATAGAGGAGCAAGGATCTGTATGTATAGACTTCAACTTGTCCCTAGGTAAGGGCAGATATAACTAAGTGGAAGTGGCTTGTTAATCCACCATGCGTGGGTCCATCCCCGTCTTAAGACGTAAAATTACCAGGATTGAATCCCGGTGCACTAAACTCCCGCTATGTGTAGGGTCCGGGGAAGGGTCGGACCACAATGGTCTATTGTATGCAGCCTTACCCTGCATTTCTGCAAGAGGTTGTTTCCACGGCTCGAACCCATGACCTCCTGCAAGTTTATCAGTTACGCCAAGGCTCCCCTTCTTACTAAACTGCATTAATACCTAAAATTCAGAACTTTCTGTTGACTAATGTGATTAATGTTGCACTCAGGAAAAAATGGATGGAGTACATACTCCTATAAATAAAGGATTCTCAGTTTGCAACCAAGGATCGGCCAGCCTTTTGGTCCAAGCTCAAATTAAAATAATGTAAAGGTTTAACCTTGATATAATGGCGAGTTATGCTCAAGGTCTCGCAACAGTTATTGTATGTGACAATTTTCAATATAGGAACTATCTCTACAAAGAATGATGATCCGGAAATGATAATACTTAAGTTACAAATTTTCTGCCAGAATAAATACCAACAAATAAGAGAAATCTAGTGATAAACGGTACCTGGGCTGTATTAGATAACCGATAGAATAGTTGAGTTGTGCCCAAGCTGGCCCGACACAACCATCATTTAAAAAAAGAAGGGTATGCTTGGAAATATCAAAAAGGAAAAGAAGTGTACGCTTGTGTTAGATGAACAGAGAAATTGAGACTATTGCTCTGACAGTTTCTTACTAGTACTATGTTTCTAGCTTTGTGTCTTCTCGTCAGAGTCAGATACTTTAGTCAAGGAACAACAAAAGGCACACTCCAGAATCCAGATATAAAGGAAAAACACTTTTGGCAGTAAAGTTCAAGGCTTTTAGGAAATAATTCCTTTTCCGAGAGACTTACATAGAAGAAGAGTATACGTAATTGGCAAAGTTGTTAGCATAATTGATAAAGTTGTTGCAGGAGTTCACGGGTTCGAGGCTTGCGTACAACTTTCTATACAAAAGTTTCAAAAATTAAAGCCAAAAGCAAGTTACTAACTATGGTAACATCTATAGAATTCCATTACTTCTTAGAAACTAATTACCTCAAAAATCAATCTAACCCTTCAGACTTGCAAAACCCATAGACCTAAAAAAGTAAAGTATTCACAAATCATT